TATTTGTATTATGTAAAATATAAGTATAAAAAATAAATAAATAAATAAATATATATATATATTATATATATATATATATATATATATATATATATATATATATATATATATATATATATATATATTACATATATATATATATATATATATATATTACATATTTATATATATATGTATATATATATATATATATATATATATATATATATATATATATATATATATATATATATATATATATATATATATATATATATATATATATATATATATATATATATATATATATATATGTATATGTAATATATATAACTTGACACTTATAAATAAATCTGACATAAATCTTAAACAAGTACAAGGCATCTTTATCATAAAGAATATAATATTTGTATTATGTAAAATATAAGTATAAAAAATAAATAAATATATATATATATATATATATATATATATATATATATATATATATATATTACATATATATATATATATATTACATATTTATACATATATATATATATATATATATATATATGTATATATATATATATATATATATATATATATATATATATATATATATATATATATATATATATATATATATATATATATATATATATGTATATGTAATATATATAACTTGACACTTATAAATAAATCTGACATAAATCTTAAACAAGTACAAGGCATCTTTATCATAAAGAATATAATATTTGTATTATGTAAAATATAAGTATAAAAAATAAATAAATAAATATATATATATATATATATATATATATATATATATATATATATATATATATATATATATATATATTACATATATATATATATATATATATATATATATATATATATATATATATATATATATATATATATATATATATATATATATATATATATATATATATATATATATATATATTACAGTTCTAAGTTAATTTCTGAGTGCTCAATGTTATTAAAAGAAAAGAGCTGAAAATTACGTAGTATTTTCACAATACAATTAATCATTTAATTAAATGCAGCCGCTCAAAAAGATAGATAAACAAAACTAAGTTATGAATTAGAACATAAACTCAGCATCAAATAAAAAGCTTTAAAAAAACAAGGATTATTACCAGCTTGCGTTAACAGACTTATAAATCCATGTCTAAAAGTAACCCCTAAAGTAATTGGGAGAATGCTAAATTCTTTAAAATGAGATAAAGAAATTCGATCATAAGGTTTAAAAAACATAGGCATTGATAATGAGCAGTTAATTAAATCTTAATTTCGGGCTTCAATTATTTTAAGCTTTGTGTAAATTTAGCTTTAACTGCTGACGTCAGTTTATTGTTTTTTAACGTTTAAAATTTTTATTGAGTTTTTACGGTATCATGATGTTGGTGACCACAACCCAAAAAAGTATTTTATAATAAATCATTATTCTCGGTGGGAAATTGGCTAGCGAATAGCTACCAATATTAATAAAAACAGTGATTTCATGGGGATAGCTAGCTACTTAAGCTAGCAGTTAGCTAGCTACAATTCGTAACAATAAAGACAGCGATTCAGCCAAGGGTAGATCTTAAAAACAAAAACTTTCCTTTTGGTGTCAATGAACACTGGTACAAATTTCAAAATTCTCGGATGAGTTTTAGCTGCCCAACACAAGTTTTTAGAATTTGAATAGGGTTTATGAAAACTTTTATCATAATTATAACTAAATAAATTAACAAAAAAATATTTTTCAACTCTTTTTATTAAGTTTATTCAATTAATTTTACTTCATTTCAAATTCACACTTAAATACATATTTCAATTACTTTTATATGTATAGCACTTAAGGTGTTTAGATATGTGAGACTTATGAAACAACTTTTTTTCATGTCTCACATATCTATAAACAAAATCTTTGATAAATGACGATTAAAAAATAAATTTAAAAAATTAGGAGAAAATTACTAGACAAATTTTAATACATTTTTGCCTATTGATTATTCTCTAATTAATTTCCAGTCAACTTGATGAAGGTTTATTTGTGTCGGGAAAATAGTATCAAAAACTTTGTACTATTTGAAATAAAAACTGATCCTTTGTTCCAGTTTTATTTAATCCTATGGCGTGTGCTGTGCTCGCTTAGTAGAATCATTTACAACTCACTACACGGACTAAAAGTCACATCAATATTTTCTTAGCTTCAATATACTCTTTGTTTTGAGGCAAACTTTAAATAGGATAGTGCATGAAACCAGCATTCAATTCCGAAATTGAAAATCCTATTAGTGTTTTTACTGACAAAGTGTTCTAGTTTTTTGATTTCAATCAAATTAAAAGCCATACTTATCCTTTTCAGTTGGATAACTTTCAATCTCTGAAGCATTCTTTTTTTAGTTTGAAAAGAGACATTACTGTCAAAGAAACTTAAAGCAATACTGAATTCATTCAAATACCATAAAAGGCTCAACATTTACTTGATGGTTGCTTTCAAAATATTCTCATTTACATTTTTGAGCGCAGCCAATTGTTTTAACAGTTTCAAGTCGTTCTGGCAAGTTTCTGAGCTCAAAGAAGATTTAAACCAAAAAAATATATAAACTTTCAAGTCAAACAAAATTTCTCTCAGTCTGTAGAATTCTCATTTCGTAAGTTTAATTTATTTTTACCCAGTGGGCATGCGTTGTCCGAAAGACGTTTGTAGGACGTCTTGCGGACGTCTGGACGTCCGTAAGAAGTCCGATGGTCGTCCCTCGGACAACACGTGCTCACTGGGCAGAGTTGTTAACAAGGTCAAAAGTAGCAAGGCTAAGGCCACATGTTACAAGGCCAAGACCAAGACTAAGGCTAAAAGTTACAAGGCCAAAGACAAGGTCAAGACCAAGTTTAAGATCGAAGCCAAGAATAAGAGTTTCGAGGCTAAGGCCTACGCAAACATTTTCAAGACCGCTTAACTTTTTGCTTTAAGTTAAAGCCAATTATTAACAAATCAGTAGGTAACATCTGTTGTAAAAATAAACCAAGGTTATGCGCAGAATTCAACGAAGTCAATAACAAAATCTACTTGTAGATATTACAAAAGCCGAAAACAAAAGTACATAATAGTTAAGAATGAAAACTTTTAACTCTTTAATTTTATGTATTTTTTTATAAGGCTTAGGCCAAAACAATCGAGGCCAAAGTCAAAATTTTCAAGGCCAACAGTTTCAAGGCTAAGACCGAAGCCCAGGTCTTAACTTTTGGCCTTGTAAAAAGGCCGAGGCTAAGGACTGACAACTCTGCGAAGGGTAATGCGTGAATCAACGTTACCATCCATCGTGCTTAATTAATTCCAGCTGGTTCTAAAATCGCTCTGCTTTTTGGTGGTTGTTCTCTGATAAAAATCAATGTGAGGTTAAGAAGCTTATGATTTATGATCAAGTCTGTGTAAATCGAGTTAATTTCTCACAAATACGTATATTGTGTTTATGTTCAATTTTTGTGGAATTTCAGTTTCTGGAAGTAAAAACTGTTTTGTGTTAATTTTTTTCATGCTGCTTTAAATCAATTAAAAAACATAATTTCTGGTGTTTGTGATAATCGCAAACCACAATTTTAGAACTAATTTGTGAATATGATGACGACAGCCCAAATATAATACACGGAGATTCATTTAAAAGTAAGTACTTAGGCAATACGCACAAGTTCTTACTTTTAAATAAACAATTTCTAAATTGTCGAAAAAGATTCATTCAATAAAATTGATAAAAAATAGTTAAAAAATATTTATTCTGTTTATTCATGATATGATTTTAACAAGTATCTTTCATTCAAAGCTTAAAGTGGGTCGTTTATGCGTGTCATCTAAAAATTTTTACCAGAGCTTATTGACGCCAAAAAATAACTTTTGAGAAATTTACATCAATGAAAATCCAACTTTTTATTTTTAAGAACACCCCTTTAATATATATATATATATATATATATATATATATATATATATATAATATATATATATATATATATATATATATATATATATATATATATATATATATATATTATATATATATATATATATATATATATATATATATATATATATATATATATATATATATATATATATATATATATATATATATATATATATATATATATATATATATATATATATATATATATATATATATATATATATATATATATATATGTATGTATTATATATATATATATATAAATATATATATGTATTATATATATATATATATATATATATATATATATATATATATATATATATATATATATATATATATATATATATATATATATATATATATATATTATACTTAGATATAGCAACAACAAAAAAGTACGTCAGTACAAATACGTCGGTGTTTGCTACTTTTTTAGAACTTAAATTTTTTATATATGTTAAATTTGTTTTATTAAGTAACTGAATATCATAATAAAAAAGCTACCTATAAACCATTCTTCTGCTCAACATCTTTGAAATTAAATTTCGTTTGTCAAGCAAACGCTATCTTTAACAATTACTATTTTAACATAAATAAAAAAATTCATAATGCGTTTTTATGTGAAAGTCGGATTGGTTGGTTTTATACATTAACAAAACTGTTACAACAAATCCCTCTTTACATTGGCAAAAACAATTTTTCTGTTTTGCTTTTGTTTTTTTATGTGAGAAAAAGAAGTAATTTGTTATTTTTATTACTATTATTATTATTATTTCTTTTTTGTATACGTGTTTGCAATAACACGATACCTACCGTAAACAATATGCAACAATAACAAAAACAATAAACAACGATACGATTTTTTGGCTTTTTATTAATTAAATTTTTTTTTAATTTTCAATATCATTAATTATTTATTATCAATTATAAATAATTTGAATCAAAAGCAAAAACGCTTTTGTCTAAATGTTAATCCTATTTCAACAACAAAAAAAATTATTCTTTCGATTTATCCTTTTAAAGTTATTTGAGAAAAATAAAACAACGACTTACATTGACATTTTTCTGGTAATTATTCCCCACGTTACAATAGAGAATTTTAATTGTTAATTACGACTCACAAACAAGTTGTACTGTCGCCCTTTTTGAAAGATTTTGAAACCAAAATATGCAATCGGTAGGAGTTCAATAAATATACAAGTTTACTTAACTTCAAAAAAAACATAATTAGCTGAAAAATATTCTTAACTTTAAAAGTAAAATATTTCCTGTTCCGTTGCACAATCCATTTTACGTAACAAAAAGTACGTTCTTTTTTCTTAAAAATCTTTCTTCGAAAATTCTGTATTGACTAAACGTTGTTGCTACCCGCATAACAATAAGTTATTTTAAGAAATTGATACTTACAGAATTGTTTGCAATGTTATTGTTTGTAATGATATAAATGTATGGTAAAATATTGAGTTTCCCATTGTTTTTAATTGTTTTGTAATTAGGGTTAATATATTAAAAGTTTGTCATTCAAGTAGTAACGCTTTTTCTCCAATATTTAAAATCTTTATATATATGTATATATATATATATATATATATATATATATATATATATATATATATATATATATATATATATATATATATATATATATATATATATATATATGTATATATATATATATATATATATATATATATATATATATATATATATATATATATATATATATATATATATATATATATATATATATATATATATATATATATATATATATATATATATATATATATATATAGTATTTCTTTATTTGCAACATTACAAATTTTGCAAAAAAGTTTTTATTCCTTACAGCTTTTCTCAAACTTTTTTCCAGCTACCAGCCGTTAAATTTTTTTTTTAATTTGCCTTATATTCAGCTACAGCATAAATTTTCTTTTTTTAAATTTTTATTTGTTCTTTTCACATCATTTAATTAAACTAGCCAGCGCGACAAAATCCTTTTAAATATTTACGTATACTATTCTTTGGAGAATGGTGTCCATCAAATTGCCACCTGGAAAACTCCCATCCAAAATATTCGAAAATATTTATTTAGATCAAATTTGTTAATAAAACAATTTTTATAAAACTTTTATAAAAAAAAACTTTTATCTGAGATTATGTGAAGTTCTATTCTAATTCAGATCAACTTTAGAGTGTATTTGACTCATTGGAAAAAAACAAATAGATTTTAGAATTGTTACAATAAATGTATAGACCGTAATTTAGATGAAGAAATAAAAATATTTTTTATTAAAATAAAAATTTGGCAATCAAACAATTTTTTATTTTTTTACTCACACGTTAACTAAATATAAAGCCGGTATTTAATTGTTGCTTCGTTCAAAAATAAAACTTTGCCAAACCTCTATTTTTAATTATTTTTTTGTAACTTTTAAGGCACCTAAAGAGGGCATTATTTAATAAAGAGTATCTTTGGTGCTCTCCTCGTCGATTTTAAGTTTAATTAAATAAGTTTAATTATTTATTAACTTTTTAATTAATAACTCAATTTTAATTAAAATTTAGTTAAAATTTAATTAATTTACAGTAATAGTGATCATTATTATTAATGTTAATTATTATAATAATTAACAAAATTAATAAATTCGCATAAATAGGCATAGTAAGTAATAATAATAGTGATAATAAACAAGTAATTAAATAAAAATAATAATAAATAAGTAAGCATAATAAATAAAGTGTTGCCATTTGTATTAGTATCCAAATGTTCGATTGGGCATTTTAATATGAAGAAATAGCTAGGAAGAACTTTAGCAGTTATTGGACATCAATAAATTGTTTGCACAACAAAACAGTTACACTTTTGCTACAAAACTCTGTCTATGAGACTGTACGGTCCTAACGTTGGCTACAATTAATTTGGCAATATTTTATTAGAAACTTTTCTGTTAGAAATATATTTTAACGGAATGAAAAGTTTTTGAAAAGTAGAGGTAATAACAAACAATTTAAACAAACAGTTGTCGTTGTTATATGACCACTATTACACTTTGTTTAACTCAGTCAAATTTTTCTCTGTTATTAATGAAAACTCATTGGAAGTTTCCAAGAGATAGTGTTCTTGTTTTAACTTCTATAGAAATTCAATCGATTATCAGATGACATGTTATCAACTAGTTCATTATTTTTTACTTTGTTGTTATTCAATCCGTAATTATACTGTCATTTAATTGTTGTGTTTTTCCTATTTGTTTTGTCATAAAAAATGTTTTATAAAAGATTTAGACTATAACATTGCTTACATTAAGTAATTTCGATTTAAAAAAATTCACTGATTATGCAATTGAACCTGTCATTTCGAAAAGGACACAAGTCCAAAACTTTTAAACGTTAGTTTATAAACTTAAATTAAAAATTTCTGTATGATTTATGTTTTTTTTATAAAAAATAAAAGTTTTTTTTATATACGTTCTTTATTTATCTACTTCTATGTTTAGTTTCTTTACCAGCGTAGACATTATTTTAATAAAAATCATCTTTTTGTTGATTTTAAAAAGTTTTATTAGATGGACTTCTGTCCTTTTTGAAATGACAGGTACAATTGTTCATCTTGTTCATATTATCTTTAAATTTTTAAATAAAAGTATAAGTTAGGTATTGATTTCAGTGTATTTATTGATTTCAGCAAGGTTTTTGATACTGTCATTATATATATATATATATATATATATATATATATATATATATATATATATATATATATATATATATATATATATATATATATATATATATATATACATATATATATATATATATATATATATATATATATATATATATATATATATATATATTTATATATATATATATATATACATATATATATATATATATATATATATATATATATATATATATATATATATATATATATATATATATATATATATATAACTATAATGATTAACAATACATGAACGGTATGGTGATTTATTGTCCTCTGGTTAATTGCCATACGGAAGCCTTATACCATGGTTAGCAAAGCCAGCTCACTAAGGACCAAGAGTAAGCGAGTTTAAAAAAGAACAGAAATAATTAAAATCAAATATTAGAAGTAGTCGAGTTAAAAAAATACTATAAAGAAAAGCAGATAGACACTGCATTTGATTTTAAAAGATGCACTTAATTGACCTAGTACAAATATTAATTCATACACGGTATTGTAATTTATTCTGGCACGGCTAATTGCCATATGGAGGCCATATACCTAAATCTGCAGAAAGCAGGTTCACCTTCCTACAGAGCGTTGTAATTTGGTAATTTAAAGAACTGAAAAATACCTGTAAAAAGAAAGAAGAAGATACCAAAAAGAAAAGTGGACAGACATTGCATTGGATTTTAGAATATTCTATATGGGTTCAAATTTTCATTAAATAAACTAATTATTACGTTATCTGGTTAACTACCTTATTGACGTCCTTATTTAAGGATTTTATATCGTATATTTTACTTAGCCTTGTAACAATCACGTATTATATATGAATACAAGGCTACGTAAAATGAAAGAATAAATCTTTTACACAGATGTCCTTTCCGGACCAAAACAAAAAAAAAATACCTATACATATCAAAAATAATTAACGAAACGAAAAATAAAGAACAAAAGTAATTTTCTATCAGAACTGTATTAAATAATTCCGTATTTGCGATTAAATTTTAATTTCATTTTCACATTATTATTTCTTGATTCATGGCTAGTAGCCGTTTGTTCGTTTAAAATAACACAAGGGTTTTCTATTTAAAAAAATGACCCGTTTTACAAAGATATTTATTTGATTTATATACTAAATAAGTAATAATCTTAATATGAAAATGCAAGAATGTATTGAATCTAAAAAGTAAAAAATATTTTTTTAAATTATTCAAAAAAGTTACGTATATCAGCGACTAGGTTGAACGCTCCATTTTTTAAAAATGTTATTTATTTTACCTTTTATTTGATTTGTTCATTTTGATTAATGACTAATAGTCTTTTGTTTATAAGCCAGACGCTTAACTTTATACTCAAAGATTTTAATTAAAAATTTTACACTAAACCCTTTTTTTTCAAAATAATATTTCACTTTATTAAAATATATTTCTAATGCAAAAGTTTCTAATTAAATATGGCCGAACCTTTTATTTCCCGCGTTAGCACCGTATCCAATAAAATAAATTTAAAAGTATTATAGTAAAGGTATTCCATATAATAAGTTTGATCATTTTTTCGTATATATACATCATATAATATAAGGTTACGTCTGCAGTTTTGCACAGCGGAGTTTTTTTGTCATTTCTTAACTCTCTTTTAAAACACTTTTTATTTGTGCAATCACTTGATGCCCAGAGATTATATTTGTAAGCTATAATTTTTTTTCATTTGTTTTAATTTTTATAAAGTGTGGAGGCTGTGAGTCTTTTGTACTCATTTTTCTTTCCGCTTGAATGTAGAGTAGAAGGAGGCAGCTATGAAAAAATGCGTTTACGATGTGTGTATTTTTTAATTAAGTAACGAGAATAACATTGCGAAAATAATACTTATCCTCACAGCTGTCACTTGAATTTGTTGGCATTTGAGATAAAATGGACGATCTAGAAAATTGGTTTGTTTTTATGTACAATTTCTAAACTTTTTAAATAAAAGTTAAAAGACTTTTCTGACCACGTTTCTAACATGTTTGCCACAAGTATGTTAACATGTTAACAAGTATGTTAACATGCCACAAGTATAAATAACATGTTTGCCACAAGTGGCAAACATGTTATTCATTATATAGAATACTCCATACTATCCAAAATGAAGCAAAAAATAAATAAAAAATCTCCGAAAATGAACATTTTTGTTTTAAAACACCATTGAACAGTTTTGAAAATATGAATGGCGCCTTTGATTATTATTTTAAAGAGGCTAGATTTAAAAATGTTTACGTGAAATTTACATTTAAAAATTATAAACAGCAAAAACTAAAGCAAAACTGTTCAAAGCCAAACTAATAAAAAAATAATTTAATCTAAATAATTTAAAGTATTTTTATTTGAGAGTAATTCTATATCTTTTTTTGACGTTATTTTTGGTGATTAATTTTAACTACCAAATTGACAAGAAAGCTTGTATGTGTAAAATTTAACCCTAATACTGACCCAAAAAATCTCAAACGCTTTA